CCCAAGTATAATGTTGCAAAAATATTCTTTTTAAAGTCTTCTTTTAGAGATTTAAAGGATATTATGATCTGCTGTCTTCCAGGAGCAACAGAAAACATTTTGGTTCAGTGAACTACAGGTGTTGGGCTATTAGTCCATTATAAAGTGGCAGGTCCTAAAGTGTGTGGTAGTTTCGGTCTTTTGACTTGCAGAATTTGTACAGAAAGAAAACAACAGCCTGCAGACCCAGAACAAGGACAATTCCACCTATGAAACTCGCAGCATCAAATGTAGATTTGCGTGGAAGAGGTGCAGGAGTCACAGTAGTAGCATTTGAACCTGTTAAACACATCAGAAATTATAAGTACGCAATGCTCACAACAGGTTTTTTTAGTGCTGATTTCTTTGTATTAAGATTACTCAAAACATCGGAACACCAATATGAAGACCAAAACCTATTAAAAGTAAAGACACGTCAGCATCTTGAGTAGATGAGTGATACTGAAGTTCTGACGAAATACTGCTGGTACAAGGCTAGAGATAATTATAGTTAAACTGTTCTGGACCTCACTACTGAGCAATACCCAGCTGGACTTTATTTGTACTTCAAAAAGCCAAAGCTTTCCTCCTTTACATACCATGTTATTGATATGCTCACATTCAAAACACATTTTCCAGTCTCTGCTCCTTGCTCCAGTTTCTTTTTGCTTAAATTCAAAATAAATTGTTATCCACTGTACTCCTAGAGTTTTGCTTAAAGAAATCAGCTGAGGTCATGACACATGAATCTGGAAGTAACAGCCAGCTGATGAAGAGAGCTTTACTCTGTGAGAGCTTTTCATACCTATGACTGACGCTGAAATAAAATACTTCAGCTTATTCCCATCACTGTAGCTCAATTTTATTTAACAACAACAAAAAAAGAAGGTATCCCATATTATCCTGCAAGTGAAAAACAAAATACCACCTCCCAAAGACAGGAGAGTTAACCAGTGACTTCCAGCAACACTATGAAAATGTCCAGCTGATTTCATTTGACCAACATGTTTCTGACTTTCAATATCTCACCAACTAGCTCTTTTTTTTCAGGCTATTATCTTGCTACATACATATATCACCTTAACAAAATTAGACTTGCCATAAAGTTAGAATTGACAACAGTAGACACCACAATACTACTTTAATTCTGTTGCTTGGTGAGTCTTTCAAGATAACACTTTTAAAGCAATACCAATTTCTAAGTATTTTATGCTTTAATTATGCTAGTGGTAGCACTTACCTGGAACAGTGGTTGTTGTGGTAGTTGAAGTAGTTGTAGGTAGAGGTGCATGTGTAGTTCCATTGGTGACATTAGCTGTTTGAGAGAAGACAGTATGTGCACACCATAAACTTCAATACAAAGTCTGCAAGCACTGTAGTTCAAATGCAAATGATTTTTCTTGTTTTGCTTTAACAAGAACGAACTTTGCCCTCAGACTGTATCCCACACAATATAGGTGTTCAGCTGCATGGCATAAAGCCACATTTCTGCAATATGGATTATTTCTAAACTTGCATAACATTGTTATCCAAATATTTCAAGATTCTCCACAGATCAGACAGTGATTCTTCATTCAGACAAAACCACTGTTCTTTCAAGTACTAGTACAGATCTTTGTATGTGAACAAGAGTGAAGACAGCTGCTCCAAGACAACTGAGAATCTGCATCAAGGCAAAGGACTTTCATTACACAGCCCTTAGAATCAGTCAGTACTAACTGTATTTTAAAAAGTACTTAATGTAGTATCTTGACAGAAGATACACACTCACAGGGCAGCAAAATTTAACTCTTTCTCCTCCTGTCCCCAAAAACACTAACTGTGAATGCCATCACTGAAATAAAACCACTGACCTATAGCTATGCTGTCTCCTAGAAGCTCTTCCATTATCGAGCCAGAACCACTGGGTCCCTGACCACTCTCCCCCTCCCCTGCAGATCAGTATTGCTAGAAATTAACTGGTATTCCACTATGTGCCTGGGACAAGTGCCAACATTTGTAGGTTTACTCAAAGCTAAACATCACCCTGCTGTACATTAGGCTGTTCTGAGCCCAATCAAATATCATCAACTTGTTACCTTCCAGCTCCCTTGAGCAGCAGATGCTTTTAAAGGTGAGATGATATTTTCAAGAACTTTGCTGTTAAGATGGCAGAGAAATTTTTGAACAAAAAAATAAATCTCCTTAGAATTCATGATTAGTGGAAATGACTAATTCAAACAATTACCACTGAGCCAATTCTTAACAGAGAAAATGCTTCTTGCCAATATAATTAAGAGTTTTATAAAACCCACTTCTTCCAAACCTTGGAACCATTTACGTATTCCATACATCAGATATTTAGTAGCCAAGCTACTACAGTGAACTGTGGAAGAAGCCCTTGTCCATTTTATCCACCAGTTCCTAGTTTACTGCTCTTCTATGTTCAGTATTACTGTATTACCTGTAGTAGGATGAGCTGTGGGAGCAGGACTGGCTGTGGTAGCATTGGAAGACGCTGTGGTAGTATTGGAAGACGCTGTGGTAGCATTGGAAGATGCTGTGGTAGCATTGGAAGATGCTGTGGTAGCACTGGAATGTGACGTAGGAACAACGGAATGCAACGTGGGAGCAACGGAATGTGACGTGGGAGCAACTGTAGAAGCTATGAAAAAATAAGAGAGTTACATTAAAGAGATTAATGGTGGTATTTAACTGAAAATAACTAGTTTGAAATTACAAAGCTGTTGAATCCACCATATTAACAACAAAAGTTACACGAGTGAATGCATGAAAAATCTTTTCACAGGCAGCCCAATCAAGCCCGTGTTCAACTGGCAGCTCAAGACTCCTCAAAACAGCAGTGAGAAGAGCCCTATTGTACAAGCAAGAACTGTGCTGGTTTTATACAACAGGAAACTAGGCATACAGTACTGCTTCCCAACCTCACTGCAGCTTGAACTGAGCCTGACCTATCACACTCAGCTATAAATCAGAGCAGTTGGACAACTGGGGCAGAATGGAGGGAAAACCAAGACACCATCAAGAATTTGAGAGTTTAGCTAGTTTCCTGTTCTGAAAGCTGTTGCTGGTTGTGGGTGCTCTTCCATACAGCTTCAGCATATGCTGTATGGAAAAAAAAAAAAGAACAACAAGAAACCAACCCCCTAAACACAGAACAGTAAAGCCTTCTGCAACTTACTGTATTGTCTGAGTTGATCACACACAGAAGCTTACCTAAACTGTTGCTTAATCATACACGGATACACCAGCAAGCTTCCAGATGAAATACCATTATATCCAGAAGCCTTTAATGCTCAGGCTCATTTAAGTGTAGTTATTTACATCCTGAAACAATTCGGCATGGTGGGAAACCAGAGCCAACTGTTTCTACAGAGATATACACTGGATACATCAGAATCTACATTCTCTTGGGTCCCATTTGCACCAAGTCTGTTTGGGGCCACCATAATGTTTTCCCATGTCAGTTCCTGAATGTAGTGTTGACCCATGACACTGTAAGAGCCAACAAGGTATACAGATTCCTCTCACACCTACAAAGATCCTCTACTAAAGGTGACAATTTCCTTGGATATGGAGAAGCTAAAACACAACTTGGGAACACCACTAAAAGCTTAACAGGAACATACTGTAGAAATACTCCTCTTAGATCTAGAACAAGGCATTATAACAGCATGCTGCCCTTGGAAAGCACTGGAAAATGGTACTTTTAACACCCTGAATAAGAGGTGATTGTTACAATTTTAGAAACAACACAGAAGACCAAGTCACAAGAAATTATTTCTGACTGGCTGCTGCCACCACAAGATAGCCCACAGCAGTGTGGAAGTTTCACTCCTGTTGGTGTGAGCCAGTCTTGATAGCACTGTTGCACTCATCTGCACAGGAGTATCCAGAATTTTCATTCACTACATTTTTCTAGATCTTTTCATTTGCTAGATCTTAAACCCAGAAAATCCTGTTTTTAAGTCCATTTCTTGTCAGCTTTCAGAAAAACTAAAACTGGAGTGCTTTCACAAAAGCACATGTTGAACTCTGATATAAATTACTCATCTCCTGTGAATCTGCTTTGCACAGCAAGCACAAGCTAATGAAAAGTCTGAAGCAGATATGCAACCAAGCATGTTCCTAGCATGAAGGATTTATCTTACACAGTTCTATCTCCCAGACCCTATACTTCAAAACTACATGAAGAGGTGTCTGGTTAACAATTAAAACCAGAAGGGTCATAGTTCTTCTGATTTACTGCATCTCAGATGAAGCAATGGACTTAGCAGGTGAAACGCTTTTTTTGTTCAATGTGAAACTTACTGCCTTGAGGATGCTGACAAATTCCTTGGGATATGCTGTATCTAAGAGGAAATATCCATTTTAATCTAAGAAACCAAGGCAGAAGCCAGAGACATGTGCCTAGGAAAACATGTCAGGCTTCTTGAGACACCAACAGTAAGCAGTGAACTGAATGCACAATGAAAAGTTGTGTATTTTAGTATCACATATCATATGTTTAAGCAGGAAGCAAAGGGCTTATTTACATACTTGTACATGCTTAGGTAAAATGTAGAAGGCATATTAACAAAACGTAAACAGACAAAGGAGTTGTAAACTGCTTCATATTAAGCAATGTGAAAGCTGAGTAAATACTTACAGGAACACTGTTCTTCAAGGTGACAGTGCTCCAGTGTCGCACCTTCTGTTTCATTTACACACATGTCTCCCCTGCCTTCTGCCAGAGAAGAAGACACAAGATATTTACAGGAGCAGAACTTTAAGGTGCTTGAGACATTGTTCCTAAGACAAACTGAACACCTTCTGCTAGCCAAGCTAACGTTAAAGCCACTTTAACATACAGGACTTTGGTATTATATTAATAATTAGAGAAGTCTTAATATTTTCTTTCACTACAGTTACTTCACCACTGCAATCAACACTTAGGCAATACTTACACACAGCTATGCATCATTTTGCTGTAAAAGTATAGCTTGATGTTTTTTCTTCATAGCTAATAAAATTAAACAATGTTTCTACTATTTGTGGCATCTTTCAAGTTAAACATTTTGCATCTCTTTGGCAGCATCATAAAAAAATATCTTCCTGTCTTAAAAAAAAAATACATTCAAGCAAAACTTAGTTCCAGCTCTTCAAACAGGTCCTTGACCTTGCAATTGTTGAAGACATTAGTTTCTTATTCTCTGCCTTCCTTTCTTTCTCCCTTGACTCATTTCAAGCTCTCCCTAGCAGAATTTACACAGACCTCCTGGGTGTTTGCAGTATGTGCCTGTTGATCCAACACAACATGTAGAATTCAGAAAAAGAGCTTCCTGAATGACAGAATTTATGCAAAATTCATTTCCTTAGTTGCAAAGCATCTTAGCCTCCATATATAACCTTTCTTGGTAATCTACATTTAAGTGCTACAAAAATCACTATTACAGTCAAGCCTCTTCTGTTTCCACATCACATAAGAAGTACAAATAATCCACATGAGGACTACTTATATAGTCTTTATATGACTTTGGCAACAGCAATTTCATCTCCTCCAGGACTGTGTACCAGAGGTCACCTAAATGTAGTTACATCCAGCTCACCTACAATGGGAAAAACAAGGCTCTAAATGAGACAACTAATGCTTCTTTGGCACCGCCACATTCCCTTGAGTGGGTTGGAATTCTTAGATTTATGAACACTGCTGTTAACTCATCTTATATAGTGGACTCCCCTCCCTTATTGCACTCAGTTCAGGAGTAGTGGTTGTGATCACCAGGGCCACGACTAAACCTCAAAAGGGACTGAAGCACAGAGCTGTGCCTGGATGTCAGAATCCACTCGTGCCTCTTTAACAGCAAACACTAGTTTGCCTTAAAAACATTCTGAACCACCTGGAAACCATTAGCTTATCAACTGCAGAGATTTCATTCAGAAGCCTTAAAAATTTGGGAGTATTTTGAACATGTTAAACATTTCAAGTACTCAGGTGAAGACAGATACAACTTATGAGTCAGGTTATCGACCAAAACAGTCTATTTGTGTAATGAACATTAATTTAGATGAAGTAGGTCTGGCTGGGTTTAAGGTTCTGCATGGTGTTGAGGAATGCATTTACTGCAAGTAGCTCAGTGTGGAGCTGCAGTGCAAGCTGCAGGCTGAGCTCTGTGTGGGAGCCCTAGGCAGGAGGTCATGAACTGCCAACCTTCTGCACAACAAAGGCCACAGGCGTGACTGGACCCTGAGAGACACGGCAGGAGCAGATGACCCCAGACTATCCCATGCTTAGACTATGAGGGCATAAAAGCCCAAGAGGTTCCTTTGCTGGGGGTCCCTTCTCTGATCACCAGATCAAGCTGTTCCTGTGTTACTGCACTGTGAATAACATGCTTTATGGAACAAGACACCTGAGAATCTAAAGGACATCTGGGGTCAAACCAGTAAGAAAACCTGGTGTGAGAGCATGGTGAGTAGGGAATCACATGGGGCTCACAGGAGCTGCCCCTGTGAAGGGGCTTCAGTCCTAGCAGTTAAAGTTTCTGGTGGTGGAAATTTGACAGCCAAAGTGTCTCCTGCATGGTCAGACAGGGAAGTTTCCTCAACAATGAGGAAGGAGTAAGGATCTGCACTGTGTAGTCCTCCTTACCGTCACATCTGAACCACTTGCAGCCTGTCACATTTCCGGGATTACCAATGCATGAAATGCAGTCAGAAAAGTTTCCACAGATGCCTTAAAAAAGAAAAAAAACCACAAACATTGATTAGGACAAAATTACCACTGGCAAAAAGCAACTTCACCCAGAAACAACGTCTAGATCCATACCTTCCCATACATAGACATCCCAAGTTAAGGCACAATCCTCATCGAACTGGCTACAACTGAAACCTACAACTTATAAATGCTTTTGACAAGAAATCAATACATTTCCCTCCAGACACTGAAACCAGATCCACGCCATGATTTTGCCCCTTGCAATCTCTAACTACAGTAAACTCAGATAATAGAGGATATACTACTCCAGTGAAGTTTCCAAAGTCCACCAAATTGATTTTGAAGAAGTTCATTGAAACCTCAGATGGTAAGAGCCTGGTTCCTTTCGATCATATTTTTTTTCCTCAGGTAATCTACAGCTATAAATAACCCTACAGTAGAAAGCTAGCAAAGTATGAGAAATAAAGACATGCACCTGGAGGAATTCATACACACATGCACAAAAAGGAGAGCAGAAAGAAAGCCAATCTATTCACATTTTGATCGTAGCAGGAGCCACCAATCCAACCAGCCCAGCTGCCTTTTTACGTCAATGGCAGTCAAACATTGTTGTCTTAAAGCCACAGTGACAGCACATCCGCTATGTGGATCAAGTAAGATCTGCTCCCAGTCTACAGTTTTACTGCATTAGTTTCAATGCAGACTTACTCATACAGGCATCATACTCGGAAAACCCACGTACAACCCACAGCTCCCTCAGTGCACACTCTCCTGCACATTTCACACCATATCCACCTACTCCAGGCACCTTTGGGTGACCTTTCACTTCTCTGTGAAGGGAACGCTGCTATCCACAGATCTTTGGCAATCAGCATAGTAATTTGCCTCTCAAGATAACAACTCCACATACATTAACTGACTTCAGTATTCTCACAATTTGAATTCAGACTGAATCTACCCAGCCTCCCTCTTAGTTATGGCAGGATCAGGTCAGAAACACTGACACTACTTCTTTCCTTTCACATAAGGAGATATGAAAAGACCTTTGTCGATTTGTATTAGTGAGGTTATGCAGCAGTTGCCCTGTTCCCTTCAGTAAGGCAGTGCTCAAGCTACTCTTAGAGCTGTATGACAGTTTCTGGATAACAGATTTCAGGAGGAAAAATTATCATTCCAGGTACACACCTGAGGAATTATCACAGCATGCACAGCACTGACTTCTGACAAATGAACAACGTTCACTTTTGTAAATTCCTCACCGGTACATAGAAAATTTAGCACAGTACAGCTGTGGAGACAGGGAGACAGTGCAGCCAACTAATACCACATGCCCTAGGACTTTTGAGTTTACTTTCAAAAACACCTTTCTCTGACTAGCATGGGGGAGGATCAGATTTGTGAGAGCAAAGAAAGGATGAGGAGACGTTTCTAATGAGCTCTTAACTTCAGAATCTGTAGCAGGGTGTCGGATGTTCTCCCAATGTGAAAGGCTCTCTTTGGGTCTTTTATACAGGATAACAGCAAGTTCCCCAGCTCTCCCCGTTAGCAGATGCCTGCTCTTCACCGAAAAAAAGAACTCTGGTACCACCAACTCAGCTCTTCAGCCTCGGCAAGCTGACGTTTGCTCCCAAGACAAACCTGTTGTACTGGCTCTTACACGGGGTAAATTCAGATATTCGCCTTACGCTCGAGGAGGAGAGCGCTAAGACTAAGAGACTGCGTCCTGCTGGGCCAACAGTGCCCTCTCCCGCTGCGGCACAGCGTTAACCTCGGCCGAGCAGTGCCGACCGGCCCAGGCCCCGCGGCGTGTCCCGCACTGCGCT